AAAACATCCTACGGAGGAGGAACCGTCGGTAAAACATTTTAGGCGGTGACATACAAGCAGAAGTTTCAAAGTACGCTACTCCGTCGCTTAAATCCTCTTAGTGTGAGATATCACAGACCGACAGCAGGGGGCGCCCGTGGCAAGTAAGTGAACCTCCCGTGTGCCCATGTTACTCAATGAGGTTATCAGGATACTGTGACAAAGTGTATGAAGGTGGACACAGTACCGTCACCTGGGCCGTGAACTGCTACACAGTTCACTTATGTACTGTAAGAAGAGCTAACTTTATGAATGACAGATGTTAATACATATAGTAATATATATTATGTTGGTGCATTAGTCTGTATTGTACATTATAAAGGTGTTTAATGTAAATAGACATTTAACGAAATACAGCAATGTATCTCAAGATAAAGGAACATATAGTCATAAATAGCATGAATGATTAAGCAAACTGGTTGTTAAAGTAGCTATAAAGCAGCTAATATACATGGGTACAGAATCACATGATTTAGCTGTGTGGCTTTTCACCTCAAATGTTGACTTGAGTGTGACAGACATTATTCAAAGAGCATACTTTTTACCAGCATGGCCCCAATTAATGTTCAGGTAACAGACTGATTAAGTTTACATACAACGAAATATGTATTGTGTATTTTATTAAAATCACAAATCATCTTGTTATTTAGGCTGCCACCGCATTTTGTCATTTATATTGTGGTTTTAGCCAAAATAGAAAGCTAAGAAAAATGAAACGCTCCAGAGTCAAATAAATAATCAGGAAATAAAAAGCCATAATTTTTTTCTCAGACAGGCTCATTCTGAATTCCTAAACATGTAAAATTGATTGCAGCAGATACATCTTTCAAACCAATATTTCAACACAATCTGAATCTGGTGTTGGAATACAATACATCTCATTTATCTGCTTCCTGCCTTACAACCCAAGTATGAGGAGCCATAACTGTAACATTAACACAAACTATTTAATATTAACATTTGAAGACGGCGAGTATGTCTTGCCAACACTGAAGGATATTCATTTATTCTCACTCGTAAGGTAATGAGAAATGAGTTTGACTTTGATATGCATGATGAATTTTAATACTTTTTAATCTCTTTTTGTCATGATAGTGATCATTATTTTTTATTTGTATAAGTAACAGTGCAGTTAAACACTCTGTGGTTGGCTAATCTTGCAGCGCACACTCACAAGCTGAGTATCAGTAAAAAGCTAATACTGACTGCGTTCTGGTAGATAAGACACAGCCGGCTGATCAGAGTGTGAAAACCATTTATGGGCTACACACATATACTGTGTGTAGTTCTGTGCAGCAGCTCAGATGTTAACACAGACACCTCACAGCAGGACAAACCAAGTCTTTGCTGCCTGGAAAATGTATTCTGTGCGTGTTTGAGTTTTACACGTTGGCTGCATCAGTTTCCTCCCACAGTCCAAACACTTGTGATTGAAGTGGACTTCACTGTTGAATTGCTTGTAGGTGTGAAGTGAAGTGTGACTGTGATTGTTTATTAATCATTGTTAGATTTGTAATGGACTGGCAGCTTGTTCAGGGTGTTTCCTGCCTTCTGCCCAGTGCATTCTGGGAGACAATCCAGCCTGTTGTTGTCACTTCCAACTGTATTTGGAATCAACACACCGGCTAATATTATCCACGGGCTTAATTTTAGCTAATGCAGCTATTTTATTTGACTATATTGACTTCAGCGACATCCATCCATCTTTCAAACGTTAACCTGTTAAAGACAAAAGGTAACTTTACCAAAGGCAGTATATTGATGAGCAGGAGAAAGAACAGGAAAATAAAACAGCAACAAGCCTTTCTGTGAAGTACAGGAAAGTACTAGTTTTTATTCCTTCATAATCAAACTTCACAAACAGCTTGAACTTGTACAATACCTCAGAGAGTGAAAATTACAAAAAAAGTGCTGGTAACATTTACAAAAATCATCCTTACTTAGCAACAATCAGTTTATTCTTCCACACTTTTTTTAGTCTTTTGTATTAAGGCTTAATACTTCTGTATAAAGTATATGCAAGATAAGTCTTCACAGTTTTTCGAAAAAAGTCACAATATTATGTAACATAATGAAGCTTTTACGGCTATTTTCTTTATAATAACAAATACACATCACTGGTAAATATATGTGAAATACAGGGCTTATTGTAAAATGGCAAGTAATGATACTGTTTGCTGAGATAAATTGATTCCACACACTGTTATAGGAAAGTTTTGACATACCATTGCTATAACTGAAGGAGGAGGAAAATAAAATGATAAGCATAAACACTTGGGAGATCGCCTCCAAACTTTGGCACATCCCATGAAACAATTTCACAAAGTCTGAGATTTATTTTTGAAATCATGAATATGGAAGAATAGCTAAACTGGCATAAAGTGAAAACATGCTGTGTAGTAAGGTGCTAAATCAGAGATATTACATTGCCAGCCTTTTTCCCCCCCACATGGACTGACATGAATAAGGTGCATTTGTAAGACTCGAAGCATGTAGGCCTTTCTTAGATGTCGACAAAATATGTAATAAATACAAGTTTTCAAAAACAACCTAAATGAATTTGACCAATAGTCTCGAGGCGACCTCGTGTACTCATGCATTCCCCTGGATTCAGAGAAATGAATATCTCTACTGCAGTTGTGTAACTCTCTGACTGTGGCATGTGAAAGTAAAAGCTGTATTGTATTCATGGTATGTGTTATTTGCTATTTTTTTTCCGTTTTTTTTTTTCATTTTTTTTTAACTGTAGAAACTGTGACAAACTTGATGAGTAAGGAGATGGAATTGAAAACTGAATGCAAAACTAAGCCAAGATATATTCACAAGATCCTCTAAGCTGCACTGGTTTACAGGTCAACAGATGAGAGCTCTAGCCGTAGACTTACCAATTTCACCCTCATGCATACTGTACGGTTAAAGTGACGCAACAAGCTTGCTTAAATAGTCTACATCACAAAAGCAATTTGGTTTTAGTGCAAACACAATTGGCTGGCTTCAGCTTCTCAATAATAACAAGCTCACCAAGGAGATTACAAGAAGGCACATACTTATGCTTCCTCTAACACGCAACATATTTAGACAAACCGCAACGTCTTTCAACAACACCACAAAGCGGTGAAAACAGGAAAGCTACTACATCCAGATAAAATGGTGAAGTTTTGCTGTTTGTGAATTATTCAAAAATGTACACGTATCCATCAACAAAACAATAACGTTCAGGTCAATAGTTACTGCTGTTGTGAATGACCTCGTTGAAAAAGGATGAAGTATGGTACATTTTGGTGGCCACAGATTCTCTACATATGTAGCCAATGATGCTGTGTTTGAAAGGACAAAAAGGTGCATTTGGATTTTTTTTCTTCTTCCGTCTGATAAGTATTATTATTTCACTTTAAAGCATTGTTTTTTTTTTGTAACATCCCAGTAAAAAAAGCACTCAAAGTGACCAAATATGCAGAGAAGAGGAGTGTTTTTTTACGGGAAAGGTGTGCACGACAGTGGACAGCTGGGTTTAACTTTTGGTATTTGTGTTTATCTTCAAACGTGATGAAAACAATCAACATTTGACTCGTGGAAAATGATTCCTTCCCTCATACATGCCGTCTCTGACTTTCAAAGCTGCTTGATTTGTCCAAAACAATCACAGGAGGAAACAACAAGTTTAAATGCCGCTCAAATCTGGACACCAATACTCGGGGGGAGAAGTGAAACCCTTCTACCAACAACATGTGGATGTGCATTTTAAAAAAGCGACTGATTTCTGTACCTTCGAATACAAAAACAAGTCAAAACGTGTCAAATATCATCATTTACTCAGCATGGGCGACAACTATGGTTCAAAAATGTGTTGAGTGATTTATATTGCTTTAGAAGACGACCAAAATAAGTCTAGTGCAAATCTCTTTTCTGGTTTGAGAAGTGGCGTTTGGGTTAATGAGACTCAGCTGTCATATCTGCTCTACCACAGCAAGAACATACTGGGTGATTCTGATAACTCCATAGCTGTCAAGTGGAATCCCTTTACGATTTTTCTGAATATTTAAGAGAGCAACTCTTTCTTTTTCAGAAGGAAACAAACAAAAAAAAAAAACTGTCACCAGTTGATGCCGTGCAGCAATTTGGAAGGAAAACCCTAATACATATTTCCTATTATATATAACCCATCACCCAATGAATGCAATTAAGTAGCATGAAGGAAATGTCATAACTTCTTACATCTGAATGACTCCTATTTTGAACGGGAGGATGGCGGCCATGTTAAGTCCCCCTGCCCTGTACAGCTGGGAGGATGTGCTTCTCTGTCAGCTCACATCTGTGCTAACGGGTGTTGTCTGTGCAGTTATGTCTGTCAAATACATCTCTCAACTTGGAAATGTTGGAAAACTCACTCCAGTCCAGTGTTTGACAAATCATATTATAAAAACGTCCTTGCACATACATTAAAAAACAAACGAACTTTATCCCCTCTTTCAAAACAGCAGTCAATACATTTCAAACAAGCTTGTTTCATAACAATAATAATAAAACACAAACCAACTTGGAGCATAAATTATCAAAAACAAAACTGAAAACACATTACTGCAGCATATATTTCAGGGTTGCTTAGTTGTGATGTTAACTACCTTTACTACACAGCTCCACTTCTGCCAAGTTCATAACTATACAGGAGAAGAATTTTTTTTTTTTTTTTTTTTTAGGGAAATAATAAAATATCAAGCTAACTTAGGCAAAAGAAAGCCTAACAAAATATACACATATTTATAAGCACATCTTATAGTTCAACTCAAGTGCATGTTTACAAAAAGCATCTACATACAAGATATGGCAGCAAAAAGCCTGAAAGCCGGATGAAGGAACAAACCTACGCTGCTTTTTAATAGGGCACATGTCATCTCTGATTCCTAATGCCAATGTTTGAGAAGTTCTGTCTTCGCCCCCCCCCCCCCCCCCCCCTACAAAACATCGCCCGAATTACAGTAATTAAGTTTTTCTATTTTGAACACACAAGATGAAAAATATACAGCAGATTCACCTTGAATTAGACCTTACAGTAATAAAATATCGTCAGATTTTAGCCAAATGGTTTACATTCCGCTCGCAAGAGATGCGTTGTCCTTACAAAAATATATCTCATCACTTTCATCAATATTTGGACCACGTTGTGATATTAAAATGCGTTTTACAGTTTGGTTTTTAATTAATTTTTTTCCATGTAGTGATGGCTGGCTCTGATGCTTTTTTTCAGTGAACATGAACGACTGTAATATTTGCTTAGAGATCATGAACACCTCAGCTGGATTTGACTTGAATTGCTGAGACTGAAGGTATCATTGTTCTCTTTCCTTTCTTTTTTTGGCTTCATAAACAACCTACAAATATGTGCAAACTTAACAACTTGGTCCATCTCCAGTATGAATGGCTAAATGTACTCAAAGTCACAATGTCAGATTAGTATTTTAGGGACAGCCTTGAAATATTAGACAGTGCCAATATTTGAAGAAAACTGCTGTTACAAAACTATTTAGATATAATCCAATGTGAAGGTGAAGACAGGTCTACACTGATTGGCTAAATGTGTGTATAGAAGACATAACTAATGATTATTATGTTTTGTCAGAGGAACGATGCAACACTTACAATCTTACACATGTTTTAACATGCGATAGTTTACATCACAGCTACTGTGTCAGATTCATTTTTATGTTTTGTTGCATTTCTTATAAAAAAAAAAATCTATTTTGGTCTACAATAGGCAAAGGAACACAACCACAAAACTATAAACAACTGAACACGTGACAAAAACAAAGATGCTTTTTCACAAGCACCCGGCAATGACAAGAAAAACAAAGAAAAAAACAACTATAGCAAACTAACCCAATCGCTTAGGAACCCCACACACACACACGCAGGCGCACACACACACACACACTGAAAAGAAATGTTACTTTCTCCATCAAACTTAAATTCTTTTAACCCTTCTTTGGTTTATGAAAACAAACATTGTCTGGTACAGTTTTTTTTCTTTCATTTGACTTCTAATGATTAGCATGGCCCCGCTTTACAAACCACCAGCCTCCTTTAGGTACATTACACTGCTAAAAGTTTAAAGTCTGAATGTCCATTAGGACGGACTATGTGCTGGCTGAGACAGTGGCCAACATCTTTTTTTTGTTGTTGTATTTTATGTCTCTGCGCTATGAAGGAGAGACCTACATAGAGCAACAGAGTGATAGCATAGTGCATGTTGTCTATAGAACCGGCCCACACAAGCTTTAGCTGTGCTCAAGGCGTACAAGACTTATGTTGAATTTACAGCGAGAATAGATTGAACGACTTGAGGGAAATATACATTTCACTAAACTTTGATGTGATGGGCAATGTTTGCTACTACATGACCAAATACTCAACAGATGTGTACAACTATTAAGTGCTGGAAGTCCTCCCTGTTGTTAGGATAGTTAAGTGTGGAAAATGAATGCCAGACAACGAGTAGGAATGCTCTGGACTTGAACAGGAATGCATGTTTTTAGTTAACGCACTTTAAAACGAATCGTCTTGTCAAGGTGGACTAAGCCAAAAAAAAAAAGAAAGAAAGACTACAGCGACTGAGAACACAGAGAGGCTTAATGTTTCGTCTTCTGAGGCTAAATCGTGCCTTAGTCTCCTCCTCATTGTGAAAAATTAAAAATTAAAAAGATACAGAAAGCCTGTTATCGAGGGACATTCAAAATATAGCTTGTGCTCCATCAAAAACAAAGTTCTCCCCTACAGGAAAAAAGCTGTGTGGACAGGACTGCATGCTTCATTTGGACTGATGGATGGTTAGTTACCTGATGATGATATCTCTTAAAAACCTCATCAGGGTAGTGTGATAACTGCATGTTCGGAGAAAGCGTCATAGTTTATATACTGTAGATGTTTTGTTAGCTTAGTTTAGCTGTGTCGTGCTTTAAAATGTGAACAGCTGCTTCGCCGTTTCTGTGTGAAGCTCAAAATGAAGACAGAATCCGGATGTTTGACGGTAAAATGTGAACAGATGCTGTTTGTGTGACGGCTGGATGACAGGGACGAGCTTTATCACATTGCCTATACTGTTATTAATGCTTCATTTGAACATTCAATGTATATGAAACTAAGCCTTCAAAATGTGCATTTGTTAATCATAGCTGTTTTCTCCTATTTACTTGAAAACTATGCATTATGGAGGATTTAAAGATTCAAAATATAGACAATCACTTGCTTTTGGTATGATGCATGTTTTGTTGTAATATATTATCGGTTTTGCAGATTTTTTTAAAATATAAAACAATTTTCAATTTCCGTTTGCCTGCTTTCGTTCTCACATCTAATTTAACAATAGAGGTACAATTTAAAAAGTGTCTTTTTTTCCCCCTCCTAAATTTGGCACAGTAACTAGGCTGGAGAAGGTTACAGAGAAAACTAATTAGTCCACAGGGGACAGAATAATAAGCCATCCCAACACCTTTTATCTCACAGCCACTCAGTCCTCAAACTTGATTTATGCTTTTTATTCCAATATATTTTCTGTTCGTTTTGTTTCCTTGTTGTTCAACAAACCACTTAAAGACATTTGAATGCTCCGTGGGTTGTTCTCTGTTGCCAAAACTTTCAATTTGTATTCTCATTTTGCCTCCAAGTGGTTATAAGTATCTAAATGACCCGTTTCTTTTTTCACGCTGCTCGTTGCTTTCCCTTTACAATCTCAAGCTGCACGTAAACAACAAGGCTGTCGGATAAGATAACACTTTAATGATTGTTGTGGGGAAATTGGGCATTGACTCTCATGAGTCATCAGGGTCAAAGGACATAAATTGCCAGTGGAGGTAAAAACCACCAGGCTTGTAGGTATATCATAACCGGAAGAATGGCAATATTTACCGGCAACACAATAAAAAAAATCCAAATATTCAACTTATATGGATTTTTGTTCATTGTGGCAGACAGTGTTAACTTAACCTCTTCCGGTTAATGTGTGGCTCCCTCTGCTGTGCACAAAGTGCCACTGCCCTTTCTCCCACAAACATACAGTACAGTATATGGCTTGCCTGCAAATGGCAAAAACTGAAACTAAAAATGGCACTTGCAATATGCCAAACACCAATGAGAGAGAGCAACGTGAAAAAAAAGGTCGTTATATTCTGAAAGGACATAAACGTCTCAGGAACCTTCTGAACCCACTAAACCTATTTGTAACATTTCATTCAAAAATGTGAAAATGTGATCGCATTTTATATCTTTGAATCCTCCAAGTTGTATAAATGTAAGATAAAAAATAAAACTTGCAGATGTAGCTTTTACTGTATATGAATAGAGCATCTCAGGTATTTTAAAGGGTTCTCTTAGGATGTACTCACAACCACCAGGTCTTAGCAGTAATAGTATAAATAGTATTTATTTGAATAGACCATTGTGTATATACTGTATCTGTGCAATGTAGGAGAGAAAAACTATGAATATTCTGTATAGTTGCTGTATGTACTGATAGGCACTTGATAGGCATATCCCCTATATCCCACAAGATACTGTATACTCTAGCTGCAATTATGTCTCTATCAAACTATCTGAAAATGTATTCTTCATCTGTGTGGAGATGGTGGTACTTAAATATATATAGTATATTTGTAAGAAGTCATCTATTTCACTCTTGTGTGTGCTGTAGAAGGCCCAAAAGAAAAATGCAGTTCAGTATTATCTGGATGTTTTCATGCGTTTTCTGTATTCTACTCGTAACTTTGTGACTTTATTCAAGCTTAAATAAAGAGATCTGACTTTAAAATGTGTGGAGACAGACTGAAAGACGAACAGGAAGACCGACACATGCTTATCAAAATAAAATGAACCTGTTCCTTACTCAACATGACCCCCTCACCATTACTATCTTCCGTTTCCTTGTTTTCATCTCAATGCAAAGCATATAGGCATATATACACTGTGAAATATGACTCAATAACGGACTATCCTTTATCCATTTGCGTGAAGCTATGTATGTATAAACAACACCACTATGATCACCATAAAAAAAAAGCAGGAGGAAGTCTGAAATTAAGAAGTATAACGATGAATTAAACATACTGCAAGAAGGACAACAATGTACTGTAGACCCTGTGTCTCTACACTAGATAAACAAAACATGAACAGTAATATATTTGAAACACAATACAAACAGCTGCAGGCTCAAGGCTATTATCTACTTCTCAATATGTTTTGTTCTGGAAAATATGCGAACACTTTGCAAACATAAAGTCTAGACTTTTTTTTTTTTTTTTTCAAACTAACAACTAGAAGAAGCACGATTGAGATAAGGACTCATTTTTATGGATAATGTTGCAACTTTTCAACAATTTTCAACCAACTTTTCGGCAACACTGAGAAAAGAGAATTAAGCACCACCACGAGTAGCTGAAGCAGTATAAGGAATATATAACTATGGACAGTGAAGAGCGTGTGATGCTAATGCAACAGGGGAGGGGGGGGGGGGGGGGAGGAGCCTGGGTATGCTAAAGAACGTTATGACACACTGGAGAGAAGGTCCCTCCCCTTCCAAGCCTGGTCTGCTATCAAACACCTTATGATACAAGAAGTCAACTGACGATTGGACGAGTTATTAGCCCTCATCCGGAGAACGTTGAGATTGGCTACTTTTGTTATACCAAAAAAAAAAAAAAAAAAGAAGATAGAGAAACAATTGATAGTGTAATTCTGAAATCAAATAGTTCAAAAAACCAACATCGAGCTACTTAACCTACTATTTAGACCAATGATACCACAAAGCTGGTTGTACTCATCTAGCTACAGTCAATAGTGCATTTGATATATGTGTTTACACAAAATATGTAAAAATTTAGGTGCCATGAAGGAATGCTAGATTACTGAATACACACATTACACTGAAACAATTCAATTCATGTCTCTGCCTTTGCTTTCAAAGAAGTGATGATGTTCGTTTGGCAGTGTTTAACTTGGTACTGAACAGACAACAACACCAACATCATGAGCTGTGTGCCATACATGTGGCAGTACTGTTGGAAAGAGATCTCGGCAGTTGCTTACATATTCTATTTAGTGCATTGTCTGATAAGGCATGAGATTACCCTCCACGTGCTGTGTAGAGACAAAGATAGCACTAGCATGCAGCAATATTGCCATCCTGGCAACAACAGCTACAAACAGCAACCATACAATTTCGGCGTATATGCACAGCAACGGAGACAGGCCTAATCAAATGTTAAATAATGTGCTACTTTTACTGAGGACTCACCTCACGCTTTTTCAACTTATTTTTTTTTTTTCTTTTTTTGTTTTAGCCGGGGAGAAACCAGAATACAGAAAGTCTCCAGGTCTCACATGCTCATCACTTGACTTCACTTCAGCTGACTCCACAGGGATCAGAAATCTAGTAGCAATTATATGAAATTTCAAAAAGCTGGATATAACTTCTCCAAACGGGTGCAATGAAGTACAACAGTACTTGACCTACAGGCTTTTTCGTCAGATCTCAGAACAAATGTTACCGGTGCCGTGTTCGCCCCAAAAAGGTTTGGAGAGCTGCTTCTCATAGTACCTGCGCTGCATATTGCAAAGGAAGCCCTACAGTTCAGATATTCCACTTATTAACAGTTTGATTAGGCTAAATACCACACAGACACTCACAGACATACAAACACTAAGGAAGGGACACAACTGTGTACAACCGACAGACAGATATCAAAGAAGCTGCATTCCATCACCTCCCGCACCTTAAAACCCCACAGAAAGTTGTTCTAGGACACACATATCATTTATGTTACACACACACACACATTTTAAATGTATTACTATTAATAATACAACAATAGTTATTATTATCATTACCTCCGCCAACGGAGTTGGACGGGAGTTGTGTTTATTATTACTGTTTCACTGTTAATGTTGTTTGGCTTGGATGTTCTTGGAGGAAAATTCTGTCTGTTTCTAAAGAAATGCGATTGATTAACTGTTATAGGGAGCTGACTCCATAAAAGAATGAATTCAAAAGGTTAAAACATAGATGAGCACACATTATGGTACATATTTAAATAAAAATAAATGCTTGCATTAACACGGCACAAGGATATACTGTAGGTAACTGCAAGCGATAACAAAAGCCAAGAACCACTGAAGTACTTAATGAATAAATTGAAACAAAGCTATTCTATTACATGTGAACTCTACAACCAAATGTTAGATTTAAAAAAAAAAAAAAAATCCTCTTTTCTAAAACTATAATATCTCTGTTAACAGTAGTGCACTTATTGGTTTAAGCAGTGCAACATATATGCAAGAAAATAATGCAGTCCACTTATCAAGATTTAAAAAAAAGAAATGTTTTTTTTCCTTTGAAATTGAATAAAAGAAAATCATAGAAGTTCATTTAAGGAAAATGATTAAATATTAAGCACAGGCATTTTAAGAAAATGTGCAAAGTAGCACTTTGTTTTTTTGAATCTACAGCAGGTCTTTTTAAGCTGTATGCAGTTTGTTATTATTTTAACAATACAACTACGAAAGTGTTCGCTCACATAAATGAGCAAATCCTCCAGATTGCAGTTGCATGTGTGTGTGTGTGTGTGTGTGTGTGAGTGTGAGAGTGTCCTATTTCGAATAAAAAGCAATAAAAAACTATTCAAATATTAGAAATGAGCCTTACGTGATGTGATGCACGGATGACAACTTTTGCACACTAACTTCCAAATCTATTCTGTACATGCTGTGTCTCAGTTTGTTTAGAAAAATCAGGAATGTATACTATCGTCTAGAAAGTCCATCTGCAACTTGTGGTATATCACGAAACAGTGTGATTTCAAAAGAGCTACTTGTTTTACTTTGAGACTGCATTTCCTTTCATCACGTTGCATGCCATTGGAGCTGCCATTGGAGCCAATACATAAAGAGTTATGCATTTAGCTCCCACTTGCTGAAATAGCGTTGCAATAGTAATGAATAGGTTGCACAGGGGTTTCAGGATCAGGATGGCATTTATTTCCAATTGATTCAAATTAAATACTTCCCTCTTTGTTCCAATCAACGACAAGCCTAAACCCCCCAAATATTATAATCCGATTATCAAATTACAACCATGTAGGCTGATCAACAACAATAATTAAAGTTACAATTTGAATCTGCATCCCATAACAGTCAGGTGCAAGTTGAGGAGCAGCAATTATGAAGGAGAGAGTTTAGTCGCATAACTGCCATAACTGTGAGTGTGAAAGGCTAAAAAAACAAAAACATCAGCAAAAGAATCTTTCTTTTTTTCTCATGTTTTGAAATGGAAGAGGTCTACTAGCCTTAACAGTCTTTTAGGATATTAGTGGCAGTGTATGCAAATGAGTTAAACTCCAAACTTCAGAAAAAAAGAAACATATTTTTGCTCAAATACTGTCTCATCAACACACCCTAATTTAGTCAACGTAATCTTAACCATCAAAATGCATGGACAACAATTACAAAACATGTGAGAAATATTTGCCCCTGTCACCACCGACAGGAAGTTACATTTCAGTAAAATGATTGAAATTGGTACCTTGACAACAGCTGCATTATAATCCCTTAATACCATAGGAATAAATAAAACCCAGTGTCAAATTAACTACTCTCCTTTTTTTATTTTACATAAGAAGGCAATCTTGTGACCATCAGTATTTGTTTAGAGGGAATATGTAGCCCAACCCCAGATGATTTTTTTGTTATTGTTGTTGTAAATTATACCACAGTAAGCTTGGACATCTATAGTTTCCAAACTGGTCAGTATGGGTTCACAACTGCCATGATAAATGTTTCATGGCAATGTACACACACACACACACACACACACACACACACACACACACACACACACACACACACACAGAGACGAAAAGACAGACACAAGCAAATACACAAACGCTCAAACATATATGCACATGTATATTCATTCAGACATATCGACACTAAAGGTGTGTTTGTGTGTATGTGTTTCTTTCGTAGGCCTTTCGGTAGTGTTCAACACATAAATCAATATTTTAGGAAAGCATACATTTAGAGGCCTGTAGTTAGGATCCATCCAGTAGATCAATATCAAACTACTAAGCCTTAAGGCCACCATCTTTTTTTTCTTTTAGAATAACAGAAAAAAAGAAAGAAAACAATAATTTTTTTTTTTTTTGGGGAAACTTAATGTGCCAGTGTCTATACTCATTACTCTTCATACCTCAAAATAAGAAAAGGAAAATCTAGTGCCATTTATTTGTCATTCTTTTTGAAAGAAGTTTATCTATTAGTACTTATCCATCGGAGACATGCATTCGCATGTGGTCATTGAAGTGCTCCATTTGGTCGAACTTGGCAGGGCAGACGGAGCACACGTAGGTGGTCCCTTCTTGGCAGCTCACTTCTGCAGCTACACCCACTCCTGTTCCAACCCCAGCCCCTACTCCAGCACCTCCGCTCACTGGCATGGCGAGGGCCACCACTCCAGCTCCAGGCTCAGGGACAGCCATAGGCATGGGAATGGAGACCAGGGCCGGGGTGCCTGCGCTCACCGACAGCCCCGTGATGGTGCCGCCTGTGCTGTGCAGGGCCATGTGCCTCTCCAGCAGGGTCTTGTGTGAGAACTTCTTCTTGCAGATGTAGCACTCATAGGACTTCTCTCCACGGTGCAGCCGCATGTGGACATTGAGAGAGCTCTTCTGGGTGAAACGCTTGTTGCAGATGCTGCACTGGTAGGCCCGCACCCCTGTGTGTGTCACCATGTGTTTGATTAAGTAATCCTTCAGGGAGAACGAGCGCCAGCAGATGCTGCACTGATGAGGCTTCTCACCTGGATGTACATGCAAGACAGGAGCATTAAGGGGGGGAGAAAGAAGAGAGACATTTTGAGGATCAGGTTGACAAAATATGGAAGAACTTGTGGAGCAACATTTGACGCCTGAATACACCAGTGGTACATTTCTCCAGCAGAGGGATTAATTAAACCTGTATTAGCTTCGTGTTGATACTTGTTCAAATATGTGCTGTACGCTATAGCTTCCTGAGAAAAGGTGTCCTATAATGTACCTCTGATGCAGTAATGGTAACATGTACACCTTGATATCTTATGAAAAGTAAAAAGTGCTGGAAAGACTACGAGGAGGAATTTGAAAATCACAATTTTAATTCCTATACGATCACGAACCAAATAATTTATGCTCCTATTTGATTTGTTCAGACGGAAGCTCAATTTACATAATTATTACATTCTTGTCTGTGAAATATTAAAGTATTAATCATTGCGTAAGACAAACAGGTAGAGGAAGAGACTGACAAATCTGTGAATAGGCAATTTATATCATGCAAGTTAATGAAGTCCTGTGTATCTACTGTTTGCTGCTGCACTGAATTAATGTGAAGCTACCTGTTTTGATTTAATGAAGCCAATATTTTATACTTTTACTTTATTAGTTTTTCCTTTCTTTTTTTTTTGCTTTACCTGTTCAGATCAGTTACACATTAGCACCATAGAGCTAGCACATACATAACAGGTATACTTTGCTAATTTTGCTAATATATTTGCAATACAACGGAAAAGCTGTCTCTTTTTTATTGCAGCCAATGACACATTACCTCTGCTGCACATGTGTATTATGCATTGGTGTGTCCACTGTCTTTAGGCTTTTTTGAGCGTGTATTGTACAAATCTATATTTTTCGGAATTATCATTCTATTGTAATGACAGAGGTTTTTATCACCATCATCGATGTGCCATGTGAAGATTAAATAGAATATTATTATAATATTATTTACAAAAGTACCTCTTGATTACTTTTTTTTTACTGAAATAAAAAATGTAAATTGCACATATATTAGATTAGAATGCTGACATCCTGTTTGTTTTTGAATGATATTTGAAGACCGAGTAAAGGTAATCCGTCATTGATCGCCATGAGACGTTGAGATCTCGTCCCATGGGACTGATCGATCAGTGACTTTCCGTCTCAATACGTCATCGCTCTGCTCCACACAACTGTGTGAGTGAAACTGGGAAATCTAGTTTGAAATGGCCGTCATAGCTGGCTCTGGACACGCAATGGATTCTTATGATTAATAATGGCTATTTGAGTAGGCAATCTTCTAATTACATGACATCTAATTCTTTCTATCTGTGGTGGTGATTTCGACAGTTCATGATTGATAAGGCTGTCGGTGCGAGAGGAAAGCAGTGCACAGTGTAATGATCTGCTGTATGAGCAATCTAATGCCACTGTAAGTCAGATGAAAATAATAATAAAAATACTAGTCAACTGTGACCAAATGAATGTCGAAATTGAGGCTGTGCTTTTATCCTTTTCCAGTATAAAAACACAGCATACATACTAATACTATACGTTTTATGTACTAATACTCAAAGTATACTGTATTGATTTCATCACTTTCTCAGTGTGAACAAACTACCACCTGAAACCCTGGGTACACATATAATGTATTGCAATAACAGCATTAATAAAAATGAATAGCCTTTTGTCTAATATTGTTATGTTTAACATCTTTAACATGATCATAAATAAGACCTCTGATCTTAAATGTTTGTTATCTACTAACCAAAAAAGATTTCAAAGGTATTTCTGCAACTACTATCTACACTGACTATGGATCATAAAATAATTTAACAGAGCTACTGACATAAAAAAACAACTTCACTTCACATAAGACATTCTGACTTACCAGTGTGGACAAACATGTGTTTGACGAAGTTCTGTTTCGCAGTAAAGTTTTTACTGCAGAGAGTGCATTCATAGGGCTTCTTTTCCCCTGGACCAATTCCTGCTATGACCTGTTGCTGCATCGCTTGCGCTTGCGCTTGAGCTTGAGCTTGCTGTACCGACATGGGGTTCGGGAATGATGGCATTGCAGGAGACGACATGGCCACAAACTGGGTTTGCTGCTGGCCAGGAAGGTAAGAGAAAGGCTTGGTGTCTCTATTCAGCTGTGTAGGAAAGAGCGTGGGCAGGAAGGTGCTTCCAGCAGTGCCCATCACTTGGGAATTGCTGGTCACGGTGAGCGGCATCCTCAGATTGCTGGTGTGTGATTCTGCCTGGCGCATGTAGTGCGGGGCACTTGACAGGGACTGGGACATGACTGAGTTTGGCAGGGGCTGCATCATGCTACTGTCACTAGTGCTGTGGGATGTGTCCTCGTCCTCCGGGTCTTGCACTTGCTCTGGGGACGAGTCATTGACCTCTATATGCACTGGACCTCCTTCACCGTCTCCGCCCCCGTCTCGGCCATAGCCCGTCAGGTACGGCTGCTGCTCCATAGCATCTGGCTCAGTACTGATGGAGGAGCTCACCCCTGAGTCAAAACTTTCAACCTTGGATTCACTCTCCACACCCTCAGTATGGTCCGTGTTGTCTTGGCAGTCCAAATTACCGTAGCAGCTGTGCTCGTCTTCGGCCTCCTGCTTTATGTGCATCCCTCCTGTATGTATGCGTACCGGTCGGGGCTGCTTGCGGCAGTGGGTGGACTCTGCTGTGGAGATGAAGCGGTCGACCTGCTGAGATCTCTCCTGGATGCGGTTCATCCAGGGCGGATCTTGAGATTGCTGGACCTCCTGAGTGCTTAGAGTGGGATCGTAATTTGTCGACATAGGGCTAATGTACAGGGGGCGCTCGCGGGTGCCGTTCTGCAGAGTGAGGCCAGGGTAGGAGTACAGTGATGTGTATGCACGGTCCATGCTTTGTGATGTTGCTTGCATATAACCTGACTCTGCGTCGCTGCTGGGCCCAGAGGTGCCGGACTCTGGCGTGCCACGGGGCGTTTCCTGACCAGAGTCTCCTGGTATAACAGGGAAGCCCCCCGGCCCGGCCAGGCCCACATTCTGGGACACGATGCGGGTACACTCATCGATGACGGTCTTGATCTGTAGGATGCTGGCAGCAGTCAGGATTTGCAGGGCCTCTGACTGAGATACCCGCAGAATCCCGCTGTACATAAAGTCGATCAGCTTTTGGATGGATTGCACCGAGACCACAGAAGGGATCTCAATGTCGCTGTAGCCCAAGAGCAGCTTGTCCTGAAAGAAGGGGCTTCCAGCAGCCAGCACGCACCGGTGAGCTCGCAGCATACTTCCATGGATCCGAACAGTCACGTCACAGAAGTGCCCACGGTTGCGCTGCTCATTGAGGGTCTCAAGTACAGAATTGCTGAAGTTGTGGAGATTGATGTTATGAATGCGCTCGGTCATCCCCTTGCAACTGATGTCACCTGCAGGCAGGACGCAACACAGCGAACTTAAAACCTCGGACACACAATCACTACATTATTCAACTGGATTTAATAATGAAGTGAAGGAGTTTACAGTATCATAACAACACTATATTTATATTCTTGGTTTACAGTATTACTGATATATTAGGAGTAATAAAACCGTGTAATTGAATAATCAAATATACTCTCTGTAATAGAACCAGTTCACAGTACTGCAATCAATTAAATATGTGAACAGCGATATTAATACTGATACTGTAATTCTAATCACTCCAGTCTCAGTTTCAACAACTCAGTTAAATTTGTCTCTTGAAATCGTGGTTTAAAAATGTTACATTGACATGGTGAAAGACAATTAAGATGGTTCCCATCTAATTATTACAAGTTTCTCCATGTGTGTTCCTGAAATTCCTGCAACCACCAGTAGGTGGTGCACTGGGCTTAGATGACAACAGGCCTCTTTTGTTAGCCATGTGTTCGCTGTGATGGCGCTTCCTAACTACCCTAGGAATACACTGATCAGCGTGTAAGATAACTTAAGATGCTTTTCTTTCCCAGTTAGATGTGAAAAGAAATGAAAACCTTAATATAAATTGGAGAGGTAGAAAGCGTCAGAATTATGCAAATTGAGGGTCTCCATAATTGCTGTAAAATTAATTTCTTTTGCACATAAACATTCCTGAGTATAATTGAATTAAAGCGGTTGACCTTATTTGAGTCATTATTAAACACAGCCCTTTTTGTTAAAGATAAATCTCCTCATTTTGATCTTGGAAACTGAACAAATCCATGTCCCAAATGCTGTAGATAATTCAATTACACTATGTCTGTCAATGAATAAGAAATATATTGATGAAAACGTATTGGTGATGAAATTAATCAACACATAACTTAACTACTGTATATATGGGAAAACACTTGAACATGTAGATAATTGCTTTATAATATGGAATGCAGTTAAACACCGAACAGAAATAAATTGAACAGTGGTGGTAACAATAAAACCATATTTGGTAGTAACAGATATATTTATCCAAATTAAGTAGAATTTAGCTCAAATGTACTGCAGAAACAGTGCAACCGTGTTAGCGGGAAACAAGCGTGAATACTTTGTGCTAAGTTATTTCCAACTTACACATAATGGAAAACGGAAAAACGGAAGCAGTCCCGTACTTACAGTTAGATGACGTTTTGTTCCGAAGATGTTTGTGTGGCTGGTGATGAAGTGCGGGTCAAGCTTCAGTTTGCTGGTGGTGATGGCTGATCAGAGGCCGGGTGCTGTAGGCAAGGCTGTCAGTCCTCTCTGTCCAAATCATGTGTTGATCTGCCACAGTGTTTGGAGGGGGAGAGAAAAGACAAAGACAAATCTTAATGCCACATACTGCCTCGTCGATATTGCCACTCCCTTAATGAACCGGGAGCCACAGTAACACAAAAAAATCTTCCACCGACACGCTGCAACAGATGTGTGAAGAGTTTTCAAAGCCGAATGAATGGACGTTCCTGTGCGCACAAGACAACCAATTACAAATCAAGGTTGAAAATAATATTGGTGTAAGAGCCAGTTTCTTCTCTCTGCCGTTATCTGTGCCGCTGGGCAAAAAAAAAAAACCACACCCTTAAAAAGAAGAAAATTTATCTAAATTCCTTATAAATTTAACCAGAGCAAATATTTCAGGGAAAGTCTCAGTCACACTGACCACAAAGAGAGAGAGAGAGCGCGTGTGTGTGGACATTTTTCTGTTCTTTTTCATTTTCATATCTACAAATTAAACAAGACAATGCCCAATACAGACATAGAGCAGACATTAGAAGTTGTAATAATAGAAAAAAAAAAAAAAAAGTCTCAAATTAACTACACAAGGCATTCATTGAAAAACACAAGACAGACATTCAACAACGTCAAGCATGTGACGAGCTGGTTTGGTGATGCTCAGAAAGCCTCACACGATTGCTCTACTACTGTACACACACATTATTATGCAAAAGAATTTATCTCAAAAGTGGAGACAAAACCGACCACATTGTGGTCAGGCAAGCTGAAAAACATATGCATTGAACCAATGAAAAATGCCATTACGTTTTCTCTCTTGCTTGTCCCACACAAGTCAAAGGGCCTTCAAATATTTCTACCAACAAAGCTTTAAAAAGGTACGTGGAAATGACTCTCTGTGTGTTGGGGAGGGAATACTTATCATTCATTGTAGTTTGGTTCAGAATTACAAGTGTGATCCGACACTCTTTACATATTTTTTTAGAAACAAAGTAAGAATGTTTCGCAGCGGTCACGCTGGCTACAACGTGAACATCAAGTGCTCTCTGAGGAATGCCAGCAACAACAGTGTGTGTTGCTGAATGAACAGAACAAGGCTAGGATTTGACCAGACCTGTACGTTAATGTTGACACATATTATTCTCGTACAAATCCCTAATACTTTCAGAGAACACACCTCCCGCTTTGAGATACTGCGGTGAAAGCTGCAGATGAAAAAGCATGTTACTTTCAGTATGTGACCTGTGTGTTTTTCCTACTGGAGGTGTCAAGGTAATAGATATTAGGCCTCTAAAATAGTCGAATAAGATGAGGATTTCATCTAAAGTTTAGTATGGAGACGCAGAATATCTGGGAGAAAACCAGAGGCGAGGGGTTAAAGTGTAAAAACTGAAATAGCTGTGCTCACAGCCTGGTTTGTGTCCACAGGCCTCACTTTGAGAAGTACTGCGGGCAGTAAGACATGCGCTCGCTTTCTTGAAATGTCCTTGTCAACTAACAAATCTGTTAGATATAGACAAGTAATAGCGTGTCTAGCAGCAGAGGGTGATCACTCGATACTGAGACGGATCATTCTTTGGCACTAAAACACACACACACACACACACACACACACACACACACTGGTTGGTTCTTCCGTCTTGGTCAGGACAGAAAATATATTATACAGTGAAATTCTTAACCCCGAAATCTATAAAATTACACTGTTCTCTAACCGTAGCTATAAAACTCTAACAGCAACCTTTAGCCGGTGTATTACACTCCTCAATATAAGCTTGAAACCCCAACATGAGTTCTAATACCTAAAGATAACACCCTTCTGTAGGTGTAACCTTTGCCTCAGCCTAACTGCTGCTACTGAAATAATTAAGAATGTACTTAGTCGAAGTGAAAACCAACAGAAATATCATGGTTAAAGCCTTGTCTTTAAAGCACTGCACACAAACATGAGCCAAAATGCTTGAATCCATAACTGTGGCAAATATTTGACCTTTTTTTTTTTTCTTTTCCAGCAACGGTTAGATTTGGATGTAACTGTATTCTGGTGCCATGGGCCTTTTTATTTTTATTTTTTTCGTGACTACTGTTAAGACAATGCAAACATGTATGTTCCCTCTCTGGCTTTCCCTCGCCACCCAGACATGTAAATCCACCTGCCTACGGGGTAAAGTGAGGTGAATGCGGGCAACAAAGGGAGCAGGCCAAGAGAAGCAGGCTTCAGTTGCCCAGACTGCCACTCACAACAGTGATTCCATTTTAGCCGTGACACAGTGGGTGAGCAGCAGCCAGCGCCTACCTGCAGTGAATTCTAATCAGCCCAGGGGTCTGTCCCCCCTCTCCCCCTCCCTCCTTCCCTCCCTCCCTCCTGTACCCTGCCTTGGACTAAAGGGGCTGATGATCCTTCAAAATTAATTAGATCCTTGTAGGAGGCAGCCATTTTCTTTCACTTCCAAACGCTCCACCAAAAAAAAAAAACACCACATTTTTTAAATCAACCAAAATCGGGGTGTGTATTTTACCCTCCTCACATTGATCTCTATCTCTGTGTGCTGCTACCTGTTTCCTGTTTCATCACGTCGAAACTCCCTCGCCGTCTTTTCTTCCGTCTGTCTGTCTTTCCGTCTGTGTGCCCCCCCCTCATTCTCCCTTCCCCCCCTCCCCCCCTCCCCCCCCCCCCCCTACAAACCTTCCCCAAGACCCTCCCTCCCTCTCTGGCTGCCTCTCCATGCTCCCAGCTCTGTGTCTGCCTCTGTGGAGTTTGCTGTCAATAAATCCCCAGAGGTCAGTTTGTCTGCTGGAAATCAGACACAATGCTTCAGACCGCCAATGCAATGCATGCTCTGCTGCTGCCGCCACAACAAAGACTGAGGAGGGGTGGAGGGTGGGGGGGGGGAAGAGTGGGGCAAAAAAAAAAAAGAAGAGAGAAAGAAAAAAAATGAAGACAGGGAGATGAGGATTGTAACTTCACCAGCCAGACTCCAGGTTAATCAGCAGCCTGTATTAGGTGACAAGCTCATGAAATACGCTGCATCGAATCGGACATTAGTTAATCAAAGGGGGGGTCGGGGGGGGGGGATAAAATGGGAAGATGGGGGATGGGGTTGAGGACAGACATAAGAGGCGTGCTTATGAAAGGAGCAGTATCAGCCATGTGAATAATATACATCCTGAATATGCAAATACTGCTTACAACACACACTACAAGCATATATTCAGGGCTCTTGATGCATTTAAATCTGGAGACAAAAGGGCCACGGGGCATTGTGAAAAAGCTCATGTCCATGCATGTGCGTACAGCACCTCAGTGAATCTGATGCAGATTTGCCCTTATCAAGAGTGTTGTGTGTTACATCTGATTAATAGTCATTTGTGAGTTTGTTTGAAATCTCTGCTGCTTAACCGTCGCTGTCCAACATTGTAATTATTAATTTCAATGATCCATTTAGCCCAAGTGCATTAGCATATAAACTAGCAGAAATCATACTTTAATAGTATGGTTTGGATACGTGATCTAATGCGATTTAGTAAACAATGTAAATGTGCGGCGAGCACACCGGGAACTGTTAAGCAGCAATCAAGTGATGCGTCGCTCTGACAAGTGATAATTCAAGTTCAATGAAGACACCGCGTTCAGTTCACTCCTCTGACAAAACAATTTACACCTCGCTGCAATCAGCCAACATCTCTAACTTTTCTCAAAAAATAAATTAGAATAATCCTCAGGTAATGCTGTTGTGTCGCGGGTTCCCTCTGACAATTCAAAATTATTCTTTTTAGGTAACTAAATATTCATCTCAGCCCAACAATGTTGTGTTGGCTGATTGAATCCGAGTAATTTAGAGCGCCGTATCTCTTATTGCATTCGAGTGTTCGTCCATAACGTTGTGAAGCAATTAACAGGTAAGGTTTGCACCTAAATCACACACACACACACACACACACACACACACACACACACACACACAC